TTCCAGATTTGTATATCCTTAATAACAAGGTCCTGGAAAAAATGGCTGGATTTTTGCCCAGAAGCAGTGTTTGACATCGCAGGGGGTTGGATGTATTTAAAGGATTTGAGGTGAAGTAGTAATTTGAGTAGAAAATTAAAAATCAATCTAGAAAAAGAGAAGCAGCGAGCAACAGCATCAGGGAGCTGGTGGGAAATGTGGGTTCAAGGAGAAAACCTTAAACAGGGAGAAACTGGTAAGGATGTGGCCAGTTTCCTTACAACCCTTTCTCCACTCTTCTCAGCACCTATGAAATGTGTGGGTATTTCTTGCTCCATTTTCCCCACCAGTGATGCTGGTTGGAGAAGAGGTGGCTTGTCCTGAAAACAAGTTTTATATCAGAGAAGATTCAGCCGGGTTGTGCGTAGGTTGTTGTGAGGTTGGGAGATGTTTTTGGAGAGAAAAAACAGCTGTATCCTGACTGAGAGCAAGGAGCATTGACCTCCTGTGATTTGTTCTTAGGATGGGCTGGAGGCTGAATGGTGGCTTTGCTTTTTTTCTCTTTTGAAGTTCAACCTTCAGCCTGTGAGACGAACTTGCCAAAGCAGCACATGGGGATTTCTGCTGGGTTCCCATGTTATGAACAGGGAAGTTTCAAATGCCTAGTTGTCTCACTCCTTTTGAAACTTCAGCTCACATAGATGTTGACCAAAATATCAAAGGGGTTGTTTTTAAATAGGAGTAATAACAGTTGGGGGAGACTGACTCACTGGATGAAACTCTCTTGGATTTTTGAGCTCAAGGAAAAAATAAGTAATTTTTTAGTTGGACTCCGTGGCATTCCTTCATTAGCTTACCCCAGATTTTCATCAGTGAGATCAGGATTTGGACTGTGCACTTCCATGGTCATCAGCTACATGACACACCATGTCAGTAAACACGATGGAGCTGTTTTCTAGAATGATATTCATCAGCTTAGAGGTTCCCTTTGCTAAAATACAGCCAGGATTGGCACCAGCATAACCACCAACCCCAGCACTAGATCATACCCATTTGCCCATGACTGATACTTTATCCAATGTAGTCAAGGGGTATGTTCTCAACACTGAACAAATGTTATTTGTCCTCTTTCAGGCAGTGATAGTCCCAGCCATGCACAATTTCTATGTTTACTGCAGCCAAATCTCATCTCCAAGTTATATGACTCATTTTACATCCCACTACTTGCAAGAGTCTCCCCTCCTTTGCCTGCTTGATCACGTTTTTCTGAGTGGCTTTGCCTTTGGGAGTGTGGGGTTGAACTGGGGGTTGTTCTGGGGGTTGTAAATGAGGTATGTATGTGTGTACGTGCAGATCTGTATCTGCCACATGTCCAAGAACCGGAAACCTCTTGCCTGCTTTTTTCCCTTTCCCTCATCCTTTTTTGCTTTTGCTTATCCCAGGAAGCCTGCTCATTGCCAAAACATAAAGATACTTTATGTAACACTTTGATGTTTCTGCTTCACCTGAAAGAGCCAGAACTGCAAATGCCAATATCCTGGTGAAAAAAAAGAAAGGTTTCTTGGGTTTGTTTCATTCAGCCATTTCCGAAAGAAAATAAACAGGCTAAATACATTCATAAAAATGCATAAAATGCACTGCGGGGATTTTTGAATGACAGTAACAGAGGGGCAGAATTGGCAGGTTTTATACGTGCTGGTGTCGGCAGACTCTCCACAACTTTCCAAGCGATGTTTGAAACTGTTAGGACCCACTAAAAACTGAGGTTTTGCTGGTGCATATTTAGCTTTTCTCCTTCAAATGCTTTTAAAAGTTTTTTTTTATTTTTTGTAAAAACATGTAGGAAAATGTTGGCCTGATTAAGAGCAAGAATGGAAAAAAAGGAAGATGAATATTCCTTACTTATAAAATGAACTGAACTTTATCACCAGAAAGGCTGTGAACACAATTACTTAGTTTTGGGGTGAGAATATCTTAAATAGCTCAATTTTGTTTCCTCTACATGAATATGACTCTCACACTGACAGCCAAATCCAGAGTCAGACTTTCCACCTGAGAATATTTTTGTTTCTCTTGCAAGAAACTCTTAAGAATGGAAGTTAAAAAAAGCAAGTGCTGTGTATTGCTACGCTGGACAGCATTTCAAAAGTCTGGCTTCTTTCCCTTGTGTTTTAAATTATTTTTCCCCTTTTTTGTTCTTGTCTTTAAGCATGAGAGCATTTAAAGGTTCCCACAGCATTCAGGCAGTGGTGTGAAATTACTTTGAATTTGTAATTTTGGGATCCAATATGAATTTGGTGTTTTTGATTCTTGCTAGTGCTGCGTGTGTCCCTAAGCTGCCGAGGCACCTGCAAAGATCCCAAGTGATGTGTGGGTACTGAGAGCAGCAGAACAAGGACTCAATGTCCTACAGGATATTTAGCTTGGTTCAAATTTGTCTTATTCTGCCTGCAAATACTCACCCCAGAGGAGCAGCTGGTAAATAAGACACAATTGAGATGTTTAAACAGAGAAATAAAGCAGAAGCCACAGTTTTCTGACCACCCTGAAAAAGGCTGCTTCCTGACCCAGCCAGGAAGTCCTTGGTGGCCATTGCAGTGGCTGAGGAAGGGACACACACACATCTCTTTTCCTTTGAATCCAAAGTCCAGTATGTCCCATGGCTGATTACTGCGTCTTGCCTGAGGTTGCATTTCTCCCTCGGTTTTGGCAGCGGCTGGAGAGCGGGCATCTAACCCCCATCCACTTGTCAGCTGCAAGGCAGTGTCCTGTGGACCTTCCTGCAGTAGTGATGTGTCTTGCTTTGCTTTTTCTGGAGGTGGTGGAGCCCAGTTCAGTCACACAGACTGGTATTTGGGAAGGTTTACAGTGGATTTTTTATGAGCTGAAGAAACATCTAAATACAAAACTGTTAAAATACCACTAAATTAAAGAGAAAATAACCACCTTATTCTTTCCTATATTTATGTAAAGGATAGCTTCTAATACCTTCCCTTCTCCCATCTCCTCCCAAACCCTTTGCTGTGGGAATTCACTTATCTCCACTCCTTCCTTCACAAACTCCAAAGTAAGTGCTTTTCATTTGATCTTTTCAATCTTGGTGTGTTTTATTTCAGCATTTCACTCATCCTGCTCACATGCATACTAGACTGTAGCACTAGTATTCCCAAATGCCTCGGCAACTCAAGACAGTTGCAGCTGTGGGTTTTTCACACTTCTTTTCCCTTTCACCCTCCAGTTTCCTTTTCCAGTGCCTTTCTTATTCCCCAGAGAGGTGGCAGTCAGTGTAGCACAACACCAAAGCTGCTTCCCAGCATCTGAGGGAGATGACAAGCCCTTTTTGTGATGGTGACTTCAGGGGATGAAATGTGCTAATGCAATGCAAATCACCCTTATGAAACAGCCAAACGTCTTGGGATTCCATCCTAAAAATACTCCACAAATATGGCTCTGGTGCATTTCTTTCATTTCCTCTAGTCAGAGGCCAAATAATCTGAAAATATATCCTTTTTTCTAACTGTCCTGTGTTATGACACAGCTGGAGTTGGTTAAAAATCTAGAGGGCAGTATCTGGCTTAAGCTGATAGGTCTTTGTGTGGCTTTGATTTATTATTCTAGAACAGCCTGTCCCCTCTTCCATCCTGTAGATAGTTTTGTTTTGTTTTAATGAGAAAACCAGAAAAAGGCTGAAGTAGCTTTGCTTTTGTGCTCTCCATGTGTAATGCAAAGTAAAGGTCTTAGGAACGCAGATTCACAGATTTCTCCAAATCAAAGTGGTTTCCCTCATGTATGGCTCTGCTGGCAGGGTGGCAGGTCATTTCAGGGGAGTCCTTGGAGAAACTTTGTCTTCCTGAGTTTTGTAGGACGCAAAAAGAGAGCTGATGAAGGTGGTATTTGTCTGTCTCTAAGACAAATTGAAATTCTCACATTTTAGCCAGGAAGCTAGGTAGTTAAAAGAATACATTTAAAGCCTGGATGCTTTTGGTAATATAAGGAAAGCAAGCTAACCACAGTACTGGGACAGGCTCCTTGGTGTGGCACACTGAGCCACTTCAGAGAGTGGAAATGAGTTAAAAAAACCCCAAAAACTTAATTATCTTGGTATTCAGTTTTCTTTTCAAGTGTAAACTTCTTGTGGCTTTCTGCTCTGCACAGTGCAAGGACACCCCACAGACAGGAAAGAGTGTTGAGCTCTTTAGCGGAAGATCATTTCCATCGGTACCTGAATCGCATCATAGCTGTACCCTTTGGCTCTGAATCTTGCACCAAAGATTTCTAGTTTGGAGCCAGTTTTTCCTCTCTGTGAGGGTGGCAATATGAATCACAGGATAAAGGAAAGCCATGGGGGCAATTTTTTTTGTGAATGTGCATACCAAAATTGTGGTAGACAAGAGTTAAAAAACTATTTAACTTTACTCTTAGTTATTATAAACTGACATTGAAGACAGAGCTGGGGAGAAGGAGATTTTAATGGAAACCATAATAATAAACTTTGCTGTAAAGTGGAGGAAGCAGGTCTCTTTAGACCATGGCTCTGGTTCAACTTGGAGATTATTTTCTAATTCCTGAATCTGTGCCCCTGGTGAAATGTCTGTTGGATGCTGGTTCCCTCTCCTGCAGCAGCTCCAGATGAACTAAAACAAGTCCCAGCTGCCTCAGGAGACGTGAGTGTGTATGTGACTGGTTGTACCTCAGCTTTATGGGGCAAGGAAGAGAAAATCTCTGTATTTAAGCCATCCTGGCACCTGACTCAAAGTCCTCTGAGGTCAGCTGGGGTCCCTGGATCAGACCTTCTTAATAAGCAGTCGTTGTTTCCAGACAAAGCAAAAAAAAATCTGATTTTCTTTGGCTTTGAGGATTTGTTATGTGTTTTTTTTTATAAAGCAGGAAGAGAACCTCAAAGGGCATTTCTTTGTTTTCCCCTGAAAACTGTACTCTTGGCTGCAGACCATCTCTCCTGTACTCAAGCTCTTAAGTGTATTTTATTCTCTCTTCTCCCTGCCTCCCCTTTTTGCCTTCAGAGGAGACTGGCTGCATGTTGCCCTCTGCTATCCCAGGGAAGCTGTTTTCCAGCTAGTAGCGGATATCTACGAGCGACGGACAGGGATGGTGCACAGTGTAAAGCACTACCTGGCAGCTCCTTCCTGGGCCAGCGCTCTCAATGGGACTGGCGAGCGGCTCTTCTACTTCGACAGAGCATCGGGGTGAGCCCTGCATTACCCCTGAGGGGGCAGCAAACCCTCGGGGTCTTTCTCTTACCAGCCCCAGCACTTCCTTCCCCTTTCTAGTAGTTAAAATTCAGGCCTGTCCATCTTGCATGGTCTTGTTATTGATTTCAGGTCAAAATAGATTTACAGGCTGGAGTACCTGTAGTAGGTCTATGTCTGTATCGCCCAGCAGTGATTTCCATTGCTGTTAAGGAAACAGCTCATTTCTTGGCTGAATTTAGCTCCTTTAAGGCATCCCTGCTGCTCAGATTGCTGCAGGTGTGGGTGCACAGTGTAAATAGTTGTTAAAATCCATTGTGCCCCAAAAGGCCATGAAAAGGAGCCCTTTTATGACTGCTGCAGTTCCAACACTGAGGGAGTTTGGGACTTTTCAACTTCTTCATATTCCCATGAAGATATTTCTAAAAATTAGATTTTGTGATTAAAGGATACCACCGTGGTGCATCTCTTATTTTGAAGGCATGAAGAGAGTCCTAGAGATCTTGCACTGTCTTTATAAGACTCGAGGACACCTTTGGTTAAAAAAACATATTACGAAACACTGTTTCTCCACCAGCTAAAACAGTTAGGGAGAAAAAAATACTTTGTGGTCTAACCATGGGTCCCATGATGCTTCACCTGACTAAGTAGCTGCTTCAGGAACAATCCACAAATGCCAGATTTGAAAATAAGGTGGGATATATTTATTCATTCAGCCATAACACATGAGCAATCAAATCCCGGAATGCCTTCCCTGCTAACCAGGCTCCCTGCTGATGGCCAAGTCTCTCTCATCATAGGAACTGTGAAATGACAATTTGCTAATTAATCCTCCTTTCCTTTTTTTTTTTGGGAGGTGAGGAAGGGGAAGTTGCCCAAATTCTGAAAACAGGTTGTTTACTACTGAATAGCAGGGATATGGTTATACCTGTGGGTCTGTGCGGGAAGAGCCATTAGCTGCCAGGAGCCACCTGGACCTGGTACATGCAGATTGATGGGTCTAAACTAACTTCTGGCAGTGTCAGCCTTTTGGTTCTCTCTTTAATTCAGTAGTTTTTTGTTGCTTTTTTTTTTAGCCTTTCAGAGCACAGAAGTTACAGGATTGGCTTTTTCTTTTCCTGTTGTTGTTTTTTAGACTTTATTTCATAATGAGTGGGATGTTCCCCCTTTTTTTTTAACCCCACAGGCTGCGTCCTTGGAAAGGGGCCAAGCTTACTCATTCTTTCTTCCAGACAAATAGAAACAAATATTTAGTTTTAAAAGAAATAGAATGAAAAACCCCTTTAAACCTCACGTATCTGATCCTGCAGCTGAATTGAGATGTTTATATCATTTCTTCAGCCTGAATTGCAGAATCAACACAATTGAAAACATACTTAGAACAGCCAGAAGGAAAAAAGAACTCCAAAGGCCAGAAGACCTGGCTGGCTCCAAGCTTTTGTTGTGCATGCCTAAGGCTAAGCTCTGCCTGTGGGCTGAGGCCGTGAAACAGCAGAGTGCTGAGCAGGAGATGCTGATATTTTCAAGGCAAGCCTGTCTCCTTCACAACAGCCTGAGCTCTTTCTCTGGTGGATGCCACCATGCTTTGGGCAGAGTGGGGTGCCTGGGGCTGGAGAGAGTGTCTGCCCCATTCAGTGCTTGCCTGGTGAAGGCAGCTGGCTTGGGCATACGGGCTGCAAGTGCTGCAGGTCTTGTCATGGCAGGACGAGAGGGGAGCTCAACCTGCACCCTTGCAGGACACATTTTGCAATGGGTGTGCCATGTTACACCAGTCTAAGACAGGGTTGGATTGTGATGTTGGGAAATGTGAGAGATAATGGAATTCAGTAAGTGCAGATCCTCCTTCCACTCAGCTTGTCCTCTAAGCACACGGTGGCTCTTATCCCTTTGTTTGCTCTCATTTGTAGGTACCTATTTGTTCACCTGCAAGCCCATGAAGCTCGGGAAGGACACAGCTACTGCTCTCAGCAAGGCTGCGAGCGCATTAAGATCATGGCACATATGTACCCGGGGGACTCCTGGAGCTGTGACCCAAACCCCTTCCCAGACAAGCCAGCAGCCACCCAGCGCCCTGTGTCCCAGCACCCAGCCGGGCCATGCAGGGTGTGTGGGGCCCCGCAGGTACACACCACATGAAACAACAGCTGAGGTTATGCAGTAGATGTGCAGCCATATCATTTTTACAGCGCATAAAGAAAAAACATAAGGAATTCCCACTCATGAATCTGCCCAGCATCACACAGTATGTGTAGAGGGAAGGGGTTTGCTCTGAATTTCGGTAGCTTTTTGTACTATGCCCCAAAGATAGCCTCAAAGAAATTGCCCAACTGGGAGCATGTGAATGCACATTCATGGAGCCTTTCCCTCCCAATTTCTTTCTTTTAAACAAGAAATACAAGGTCTCTAGAGGGGGCTCAGACTGGATTAGCTTTGAATTCCATAGTACAACACTGCTGATTTCAAACTGGGAAGTAATTCCAGTTAATAGGAATAACTCGGAAATTAGAGCCAGGATCTCTCCTCATTTACTGTAAATTCACCCCACTATAAATCCTATAGAATTGTTTCATACAAGATTTGCATTTGAGTTTATAACCAAGCAATATATATGCAATTTTAAACTGAGTTAGTGGCAGGGTGACCGTCAGAGGTCTCTTCCAACCAGCATTGCCCCGATTCTTTTATAAATGGTGTCTTAATAATGAACACTTATTTGTGAACCAGGATCACAGTTTGATAAAAGGATTCTTAAAGTTTTGCAGTCCTATCTATATGAGCACTGGTACCTGGTGTCACTTTGGTGATGAAAACCAGTTATCAAGCCAGTTGTTATATTTCTGTCTCTGGTGTAATTGCAGCTTGCTATCACTAGCACACCCTCAGTCAAGTATATAAGGATTCAGATCCAATCTCTCAGCAGGACGGACATACAAAACCACTTGACATCCGCATTCATTAAGGTATATTGTGTTTTACTGCATTTGAAATGGTGATTAATCAGGGGAAGCTTTATCTCCAAGGAAAGGTGATGCAAAATCTTGCTGAGCTGTAGAGGAAGGAAATGGGAAGTTCCCTTGGAAGAGGCAGATGCATTGTTCCTCTTACAATTAACTGTACTAAAGTCACTGGGAGTTCGTATTCCATTCAGATGAGGATTTGAGCCCTTAGGAGAAAAAAAAGGTCTTTTATCAACCACAAGAAGAATTAACACCACTGCTCTAATGTGGAGGAAGAGGGGGGAACAAGCACAGAAGTCATTGTTTACAAAGGATGGGGGAAAGAAAACCCAAGTTTGTTTTTCTGATTGCTGGCATTACACTAAAAGACAAAAATAACTGTATTTCACTACTGAAGGGGTGTGGATCTGTCAGGCTGTCCCTACACATGCCTTACATGTCTGTCTAGATGTGAAGGGTGACTGAAATGCTTGCAAGGACATTATCCAGGCTTACATGCCAGTGTGGTACTGAATTATAATTAATGCTGACAAATGCCAAGCAAACATGGGACAGCGTCCTTAAGGAGTCTGAGCCAAGATTTCTTGCCACATTCACTGACTGCATCCTCAATAATGTATTCAAAACCATTAGGTGTTACTGGAAGCAGCATCTCACCTGTGATGAGGTGCAGAGACCTGTGCGTGTGCAGCAGTCGTGGGACAGGTGCAGTATCCTCAACGCTGCTTTGCCTTACCTAAGGCTTTAATGCAAAATACTGTTTTTTGAAAAGTTTTGTTCTGGGCTAAGCAAATGATGAGGTTAATGTCTAAACAAAAAGGGACCATAGGAGCCCTTGTGCTGGTTCCTCAGTGGATTTGCAGAATGCAGACAGGGGCAGTATGCACAGTGGGGCTGTTGCTTTTGCTAGCAGCCACAATTACGTCAGTTTGCAATGCTGGTTGCTCTCTGCTCCGTGTGCATCCAGACTTTGACACACTTCCCAGGCTTAGGAGCATGAGACAGCCAGGACCAGGCGTTTAGTCTGTCTTTGCTCCTCCTCACTCCCCTCTGTCCCCCCCTGCCCCAGGCCTCCCATGGCCCATACAGTCAAGTTTTCCATACCCTTGACACCCTGTTGCATTCAGCATCCTCTGACATCTTGCAGAAGCCCCTTTTTTAACACTTGACTCTCTCATTCATTCTGGCCCTATATTCCACGGAGGGATAAACATGTCTCAGATTGATGGGAAGAATCTGAGCTCCCAGTTGTCTTTGGGCTATGGACAACTATGTGAATTACACTGGCTCATGTTGTATCCTGGGCTTAGCTTTCTGACAGCCTGATCTTGGTATGCTGTTGCTCTCCTTGGTGGTAAATGTGTCCTCCCAGGATAAGCTGTTCCCCAGGATGATGGGAAGATGCACCAGTATCGGGCACCTCAGGGAGTCTTTGCCTTTCTAAAAGCAAGTATCATGGGGCACATCCTGAGAGGAGTAACTTCCAGAAGAAGCCTGTGCTGTAGGACAGGAAGAGAGTAGGAGCCACTTGTGCTACAACTTCTTTGAAGCACTGAGACCGAGAAAGAGTATTTTGGGTTTGATATTTGCACTTCCAGAGAAAAAGTCCATGTGTTGCTTCTATTCCCCCATCTGCTGTCTCAGCACCTCTCCCTTGCTCCGTGGTCAAATCTGCTTTGCCAAGTGACAGTAATTTTCCCCACATGGAAAGAAAGTGGTTATAGGCTGAACTAAGCATTTAACTCCCAGGGTTTTCTGCTTCCCAAATGTATCTTCCTAATACACAAGAGATGACCTCATTCCTCCTGGTTTTGTACCCCATTGAGAACATTTGCTCCCTTGTGCCACTGACCATTTATCAGTGCTGTCACTTCATCTGTACTAATTGTGCATTTAAAATTATAGGGCACACACCCTTGATAATTTCCTTGCTTATAAGTCCTTGTGGAGAAGCAGGGTCAGAGTCTGCCTCCATAAAGCTAACCTCTGTTTTTTTTATTGCAGATAAATGACACCATTTTCCTCTTCAATAGCCATGGGCTATTCTTTGTGGTGGTAGATGCATGTTCAGGAGCTGTTGTGAGTAGGAGGCACTTTGACACAGTTACTGGTGAAAATGCTGCCAGTGCAATAACTGACTATGTTCAAACATCTATAAAAGAGAGGTAAGCAAACTGCTGGCAGCCCAGTTCATGTAGCAACACATGGCTGATAGACAGAGAAAGGAAAATGACCTACTTTCACAACCAAACCTGTGCTCTGAAGGAATCTGGCACAGATCAAATATATACAAATCCCAAATATCACCTAGATAATAAGAGGAACAGGGTCTCTTTCCCAGGATTGCACAGATTAGAGCAGGCAGAAACAGGTTTTCTGGTAAACTGGCAATTCCTTCTAAATTAACCATTCAGTTTCCAGCATGGAGTAGATAAGGTCCTTCCAATGACATTTGCAATCCTGTGCTGCTGTCCTGGTGTCCAGCAATTTCCTGGCAGTTAATGATTCAGTTTTCCAGTTCTGAAACCAAGTCGATTTTTGCTTACTCTTACTGTTTTTGCCTTTTGTAACAGATGAAAATCATAGGTGTGCCAGATTTTCCAATAGGACTTTTCCTGGGTGAGCCAATGAATAGACCTGCCTGCCTGCAGGCTCTGTTACCTTGCATGTGTCCTGGCAATGGTCTGGACCATCTCCACTTCTGTCTGTCCCACATTCCTTGTGGGTTTATGTGTTGCCACATAAACATGGAACAACAGAGATTTATAGATAAATTCTTGGCTGCTGGCAGGAGCAGGTCAAATAACCAGAAAACAGACTTTCAGCCCAAAATATTTCTGAGCAGTTAATGACCAAAGATTTGAACACTCCTGAGCTATTACATCTGTATTTATGCACATGAGTACATTCATGTATCAAACATGCATGAAGTGACATATATCCATATGATGCCTACATATTTGGTTTGATTTTCTTGTAAGATGTGTATTTTGCAACTCTAGGCATGCAGCTAAATGCAGCCACTTCTGCCAGTAATTAATTGCAGGTACAATTCACTGGGGGCTGAAAGCACATCTTTGAGGATCTAAGTTGGATGGAAGCTTGATTGAAAACCAGACCCAGAATACAGATGGTTTCAGAATCTGAGGACTGCACAGCAACTGAATTTCTTCTGTTGCTGAATGTCCCTCTCCCATAAAGGGATGCACTTGCAAACACTCACTTGTGCTTATTTTGATTCCATGAGAAGTACAGGTTTAATTTAGGAACATTTAAACAGAGGCTTAAACTTAGGAAAGTTTACATGGGATCAAAATCAAAGGGATTGAAACATATTCTTAAAGTTAAGCAAGCTCTTAAGTAGTTTTCTGAATTGGAGTTTAAAGGTCTTGTGGATTCTTAATGAAATAATATTTTGCAATCATGTGGTAATGACTTTCCTTCTTTTCAGATCACTTGTTCTCGTGTGCTCTAGAGATATTGCAGATGTGGTGGGGAGCTCTGAAATGCCTATTTTTACCAGGTTAGGTTCAGCAAAGCCTATTGTCATCCACAAGGAAGGTAAATGTATTTATTCTACCATTTTCTTTTGCTAAAGAAATACTGGTATGTTTCCTTATCAAAACTGTACACATCCTTATATACTGCTTATTGATAGACTTCCTAGCACAGTATCCTAGCTGTAACCTAGTAAAAACTTGGATGGTGAGAAGTACGAGAGTTATTTCAGGGTTTTGACTCTACGTCACCAGTGAGAAGCTGCATGCTTCAAATTTTTCATCCTAAAGGGAAGTTGTTTTTCTAATCAAAAACAGAAAAAAAAAGTCATTTGATAAAGATTCCAAGTTCAGCTGCTTTGCAAGGAAAAACAATCATAAATGGAAAAGTTAATGAAAAAGAAAATTACCTGAAGTGAAATAGGAGCTTTTATATATATAGAAGGAAGGTAAAATCACCAGTTTTGGAAAGTTCTTATTACAGTTTTACCTTGGATTGCTGCAACAAATCCATTGGTATCATTAGTCCAGGAAATCCATGCTGGGTTTCCTCCTGGAAGACTGGGGCTACTGAGTCCAGGTTTGGGTGAATAACCTGGGTGATTGATAAGGAAATCACAAAACCAACCAACCAGCCTGAGTTTTAATTTGCAGTCTCTCAAGCAGAGATCACCTGGAGAATTGGCTGTGTTTCCAGGTGTTTCCAGCTTTTTTTTTATTTATTTTTATTGGGGGTTTGGGGATTCCGCTCCCCCCCCCCGTTTTACTGAAATTTGTATCAATTTCTGGTTCAAGTTTCAAAGTTCATTGCTATAAGCATTCTGGGGGAGGACAGCGTAGTCTTTTAAAGCAGAGACAGTGATTTCACTTTGGTGCCTGTTTGATTCCCAAAAAGCTGGTTTTATTTTCATCCTTTTAAAAGCAAAACTTTGAAGTTTTCTCTTTTTTTTTTTTTTTTTTTTGTCCTGAAACCTCATTGCTTCATTCCTTCGTCAAAGCCCTGAATACTTTCGAAAAGAATTTTTTGATTAAAAACCAATCTGTTTTGTTTGTTTTGTCAAACTTTGTTCCCTGAACCACCTTTGCCACTCGCATGGGCACAGCACTTCCAAGTCATTTTGGGAGCTCGGTTCAGCCTTCAGCCCTGAATGCTCCTGGGGCACAAAAAGCAGCAAGCAGGACCACCACCCTCCTGGGGGCATGCTAGTTGGTGGTCACCTCTTTGCTCTGACACTTTGGCAGGATGCTGGTGCCTCCACTGCTGCTGATCACGTGTAGCCCCTGTTTTGTTTTTCCTAAGGGCAAGGGTGTTCACCCATGTGTCTGCCCTGATTTCCAGTCTGACTAATTACATTCTGCTTATGAGCTTTCTCCTGCTGATTCAGGTATGTGCACTATTTGACTTCACAGCTCCAAAAGCAATTGCATGCAGGACTGATCTGCACTGGGGGGGGGGGGGGGGGGGGGGGCTGCGTTCCAGGGCAGGATGGAGCATTTCTCCCAAATGCATATTGCTTCTGCCAAGGATAATGCAAAAAACCCCAATCCACTTGACCCCAGCAGGATCAGGATTTAGGGTCTTGTTGCCTGGTTTTTCAAAACCTGATTTAAATTAGAAGTGCTTACAGGAATAGACTCAATCCAACCAGCTGCAATAGCCTTGAGAGTCTTTGCAATGAAAAACATACTATAAACACAAGACAGTATTATTAAAATAGAAGAATACATAATGCCTCTGTACTTTGTGACAGGACCAGAGCACAGGCGACATGGGAGATAGTTTCGGCATAACAGGAAGAAACTGATGTAAACCAATAAAAGAAGGATTCAAAGTGCCTAACCGTTTTCAGGTAGTCAAATACGAAAAAGTACCAGTCTCATGTAAAAGTAAAGAGTAAATCAATACTTCTGCTAACTGACATCTGGGAACCCATTGAGATAAATGGTGCAGTGAGGTTCTGGCTTCAGTGAGGCTCATTCCCTCTTTCATCATCCTTTTTCTCTCCTAAATGTTCTGTTATTTTAATCCAGGAAAAGAAAAAAAAAAGACTGAGAAGGTCCCGTCATGTGGAGGGAGCCTGTGCTGCACTGCTAGTAAGTGAACCAACCCATCCAGAGGATCACTCTCTTTGTGTCTGTTTTTCAGGGAGTTTTGCCATGCTTGGCTATAAAGGACAAGCCAAACCCTCCTGGATTAAAGTCCTTAATCATGCTGGTTATCAGAAAGCTGCTTCTTTACAGCATTACGTTCCCTTGAAGCTGAAAGAATATCAATGTCCAGCTAATGCTGATGAGCCGCCAAAATCTGCTTTTTCTCAGAGCAGCTCGGAACACATCTCTACAGAGGCTGCAGCTTCCTGGGATTAGCATCGCTGGGGAACACCAGCCAGGCAAAGCCCGCTGCTGCCACCAAAGCTGCTCTTGTTTTCATGGGATTGTACCAAACCAATGGTGTTCACTTGTATATAGTATAACTAATAAATATAGTCTCATCTTAACCTGCTGTGGCAGAGCTTTATTTTGCAAACAGTACCTCACAGGGCGGAACAGGAAAAGCCTGTGGGCTGCCTTTCCCAAGGAGAAGCATTTCAACATACCTATGATTTGGTGTCAAAAGGTAAGTTTCAAAGGCAAGAACCTGCTCTCCAGTATCACAGAGACTGGAAATGGAATTTGGCGTGGAAGCTTTAGCAACATCCAGGGAAACAGATGAACTTCAGCAGAGGTAGGGAATTCTCCCTTCACTTCTGTTTTCCCTCCATTAATGTCTGCTTTTAAAACACCTAAACATCCACTTGCCCTGGCATTTTAGGCGAACTCAGTAACATCTGCTTGGTAAGCATGAAGTGATCTTACGATAATATCTTCTAATTGAACTGAATAAATAGGGTGCTGCAAGGAGTTATAAATGCACTTCTGTCTGTAGCTAATGACTGGTGAAATGATGTTTGTCCAGCTGATGTGAACATTTAATTAAAGACTACAGGAATAAAACCCAGGATAAAGTATGTGCTGCATAAGGTTAAGTCTTGCCTTCCTTCCAGACGATGCTTGTATTGACTTTCTGCTCCCATTGCGGACCGAAATACTGCCAGTAGTAGTGGTTAATTCTCTTTGATTTTCTGTTTATGCTGCTGCTTTATGAGGTAAAGACAAAAATAGAACTTTGTATGCAAACTGAGGAACAGCTGATGACCTCGCTAACAGTTTAAGTACAAATGATGACTTGTTTTGGTTTGAAAATGATGTTACTTGGTGGCAGCAGTGAAGGGCAAGCAATTACAGGCTATCCATGGCTTTGTCACATGGCTTACTCAAACAGGTAGGTGAAGGCTTTGTTACTAATGTCCTGTTGTTTCTTTGAAGTTCTCAGAAACGGCCAAACAAGTTGCTACAGGGAAAGGTTAGTATTTTGTTGGCCAGACTTTTGCTCCCTGGTGAGTTAGTCGCTCTGGCATCCGCACACCGGCCAGCTGATATTGTGCCTCTGAAAGGGGACTGAATTCTTTGGCTGGGACACTTGCCTCCATCAGACACGTACTGGCCAGTGGTCCTTGGACGTGGGCTGAGGGAACACCTGGAAGTTTTACAAGCAGAGAAGGAGACTGTAGCTCCATCCCCACACCAGGTAGGAGAGATGTGAGTTGGGATGGGCTGGGGGAAAGTTCCTGGCTTGCTAAAAAGTGTGAGGAAATCACTGATACTGCTCAGTAAAGGTAAGATAAAGAGTGATGCACAGGACATGATGGGCCTGTGCTGGCCCCCATGGGCAGCAGCAGGGACTAATGCACTCTGTGGAGAGAAGTGGTACAAGAGCCTGAGCAGCTCATACTGACCCTCCATGGAGCTCCCTGAAGTCCATTTGAACTCCTGTTAGTACCTAATTGCCATGATTTCTGAGGCTGTGCAGGGAAAGAGAAGCAAGATGTTTCTGGCTTGTGAATATAAACCCAACACTGGAACAAGTATTTGCAGAGCAAGCTTTCAGCCTCTTGGAGATTTATTTGATAATCTGTGACAGGTCCAGACCCTGGATCCCAATAGAACTTTGCAGGGTTCCAACCCCAGTCTGAGACTAAACAATCGGCAAAGGAAGAGCCTGGTGAAGGAAGGAATGTGCCTAAAAGTCTGAAAAATCTCTATTCCTCCTCCTGCCTCAGAAGGAGAGCAAATGGCAAATGTCCTGGAGGGGAAGGCGTGGCGCCGTGGCGAGCCAGATGCAAACAGTAAAGTACCACAAAAGCAAAAAGAAAAATATTTACATCCTGATGCAGTTATTTGGGTAGTTAAAAGCAGCAGTTTGAAGAGGATTCAGGATGCTGTGATCGTCTTCAGCCACTGCACACAGTTTCCTTTCCTTGGGAGGGAAAAAAAGGCTTCAAAACTAGGGAAGCTCTGCAGAGGGTACAGTTCCTCCACAGACCCTTGGAACATTCAAGACTATGATTTCAAAGGCTAACACTAACCTGGCATGCACCAGAAGTCTGTGTGGGTGAAGCTGTGGGGGTAAGTAAGTGTTGCATGGACTTTTTGTTCATGGGAAGCTGTTGGGTATCCTGAGCAGGAGGATCCCCAGGAATTGTGTTTGTCCACATGGACCTGCAGCTAACCCAGGCATGTTCAGTACACCTAATGCATTCAGGATATATGTGTGCCCCGGCTACCCTGAGAGCATTTCTGCAGTGGGGACACAGGAGCTCTGGCACCCCCTGAAAGCATTAGCTTGGCTATGCTCTGAGTTACTGTCAGCAGGCACAGCAAAGTCTGTGCATCCTGAACCTCAGCTAGTGGGTCTCAGCTTAACACCACTGATGCTTTGAAGGCTTCATGCAGTGGATGAGGTTTAATTCAGTGAAATGCTGAGCTCTTCGAAAGCATGTGGAATTGTGAGTCAGTCAGCCTCGGATGGGTGGAGTGATGTGAATTGCAAATGATTTTGTTTTAGCTGAGCCAAAAATCGCTTCCTCTCCTTTTCTAGGTCTGTAAGCCTCTGTCAAAAAACCCAAAAGTTAAATCTGAAAAAAGCATAGCTTTAAAATAACTCTTCCCCCCCCCCCCTTTTATTTCTGTCTCAAAAAAGTGTGCCAATATCACAACAACTTTACAAACACCCTAGTTTCCTTCAATTTATTCATTTTGAAAATTTCCTCTAACTCGTGCTCCTCTTCCAGAATCCGTTTTTATGAATGTCAGGAATCAGGGAACTTGCAGTGATCTTTATATACCGAATACGTGAGCAGAACCTTCTTCCTTGCAGGGAACCAAGGTTCATTGGGAAAAAAGTCAGAGTGCTGCTTTTGACTCCAGTATTGATTCCATTGAGAAAAGTCTGTTCCTGGGTTTAACCCTCCTCTACTTGCTAGTAAAAAAGAGCACAAGATCAAGAGGCCACGCTGCTGTCATGTGCTGGGACTGGGAGAGAATTTTCGTTAGCGATCCCTAGGAATACGCCTTTATTCGTTTATTCGTAAGGCTGTCTGAGGGCTCTAGGTGTGCTTGTGGCTGGGTGCATGGAGGCTCCCCCTGCACAGGAATGTCACTATAGCCAGGGCTGGCATGTCCTCGGGTCAGAAAGTCAACTGTGCTGCTCAAATCCATCTTCCCCACTGGGGCTAAAAAGCAGAATTCCCTGAGTGGGGTGAGAGGACAGTTGCTGCCACGCAATGCCAGCAAGAAGGTAGCAGAGGTGCTAATTAACTCTCTGTTAGGAATCAGCTTCCAAACTGATGTTGGCTTCTTTGCGTATAAATGAGGAAACATTGCAGCAAGGCTTCAGACCCAGCCAACAAACCACTAAAACCTCAGCATCTGCTGTGGCTGTGTGAGGGTCCAGGTTTGCCTACCCAGAGCAGGAGGGGTACACCACAGCTCTGGCACAGACCCATTAGGGTCCCCTGGAGCATCTTGCCTGGCAAAGGTGGTCCCTGGTTAACACATATTTTATGCACAGGTCATCTCAAGTACCTGTTCGAATTAGTGTCTGCTGAGAGCTTACTCCCCATCAGGCTAAATGGCATCTTTTCCATATGCACTTTTCCTGTTCTTCTTTGGGGATTGCCCTGGACCCCTGCCTTGTCCTGCACAGTGTTTTTTCTTTGTGGGCAGAGGCAGCAGTAATAGCCATCAGGTTTCTTGCTCCTGCTTGACATCTTTTTCAGGGGAGATCATATAGATGCTGCTTTCCCCCCATCCTTGCTGTGTTTGTAATGGACAGTCAATGCTCCCATTTATGCCTCATTTGATATACCAGAAAGGATCCTTGTCTTCAGCAGCACCTGAAGATGCATCCTTCGAAGTATGTAAAGCCAGTCTTACAAAGCACTTTAAAATATCCAATATTGGGAGCTACTTTTTGAGAGGTCGGCAGGGTGGCAAGCTGAGGTTGGAGCCTAGTGTGCGTTTCTGGATGCCTGACTCTGCCACCCCAGAGAGCTCTGCTCTACCCTAGGGATTTGGGGTCTCCATGTGAGATGCTTAGGACAATCCAGCTTCCTCAGAGCATTTCTTCACTGTTTTGCTGTCAAGATTGTTCGGTCTGCATTAAAACTGCAGGGAGGGCAGTGGATAGGGATTCCAATCTGTGCACTTTCTAGTACAGTATCACTGCTGACACCTGCAGTAGCAGTCAATTGAGAACTAATGGTTTCCTGCATTTACTTTTAGCACTGTCTGCTGCTATTGTTCACTTTTTGGAAAGATCCAGCAGCTGGGAATCATTTCAGAAAGTCTGCCTTGCCAGATCCAGGGATATGAGTCCCACTTGCCATTGCCAGGCAGCTTTTAATGGTGAGATGAAAAAGATTTTCTCACCCAAGAGAGGAGTCACAGATGGTATTTGAGAAATGTTGGAGATGGTAGACTTAGGAGGACACTTGCGCAGCCCTTATGCTCTCAGAGTGCCCAAATCTACAGGGAGGTTTGTTGACATAGCTGATTACATCAGAGCTGAAGTCAGCCACGTGGCGCCTGTTCAAATGAGAGGTAGCATATTGCCGCCTGTATCCCCACGCGGCTCTGAATGCTGAGCTAACACACGGCTGGCTGGCAGCAGAGAACCACTCTGGAGTCCCCTCCAGCAGGAGATATTAATGAAAAGAGTCACTGCCTCTTCCTCCTTTTCTATTTAACAAGAAAATCCAGCATGTCGCTGTTTGTGCCTAATATCTGGGAGATCTTTAATTGAGAGCCTTTGAAGGAAAATTCCTGAGATTATCCTGCAAGTAGCGTATTTCCAGTAGTGTGTTAGTCAGAGCTGAATCAGAGGAGTCAGATCCTCTTGGACCTGTCAGCTTTCAGTCTTTCCAACCTGAGTGCCAGTTAATACTAACACCACAATGACCCCGCGCTCGCTGCGAGCTGAATCAAACACTCTCCCTCAGTCACAAAGTAAGCAGGATATTCTTTGGACTGTGGCAGATCAGACACTACAAAAACATTGGATCCTGGCACACAGCTGACACCTCCAAAAATGACATGACTTTCCAGTGTCTGATTACTT